AGGTTTTTTTTCATTATCAGTAATTGCTGATTGTTTACAGTTTCCATTAATTTTGCTTCTTTGCAGAGGCCATGGGGTAGTGTGAAGTGGTGCAACTTATTTCTTTTTATTACCTGAAAGGTTGGTTTGAGTTYGTGTTGGCCTTTTTGACTTGGAAAAAAAGAAGAGTGGCTTCATTTTATTTGCTTAGTGATTATTAAGAACACTCTGGGAACAGTTTTGGCCGTTACAATGTAAATGCTGATGTAAAAAAAGATAGAAGAATAACTTATTGAAATGGGTTGCTGCAGACTATAAAATACAAATACTTTTGATGTGGAGTAATCAAATGCCGGCTGATTCTCTTGGTTAACTCTTGGCAGCTTAAGCAGGTTTGGGAACACACTGTGCAATATATTAACTTTAACTCTTGGATTATTGACATATTTCAGAGGTTCGTGGCTTGACCCTACTTCAGACCTTTCACCAGGATGCTTCTAATAAGTAATTTTGTGCAGGGAGGTAGGTCACGATACAGAAAAGGGTTTATGTTTAGAGAAGTAAATGTGAAGCTTGTTTACATGAGATGGCTCTTCCTCATGGAAGTTCCTCTGTAATTCTGGCATCAGTATACGTACATTTAAAAAGAAAAAAAAAGAAGAATTTTAGCTCATTTAGTCCTTATTTATTTGAATAAATAAAAGATTTGCTAATTGGCATCTACTGTTGTGTGTGTCTTTCTGCTGAAATGTAGTTGGGAACGTACATTCTAGAACAAAATGTGTCTGCTACATAAGTGAGTATTTTGCTGCCAACTGTGAGATTTTGTGGCTCATTTTGAAACATTGGGAACATTTTGAAACTGTTTTTTAGAGTTCTGTAGCAATAATTACTTTCTGTGAAAATGAATGTTGGGATTCTCATGTGATCTGATGATCCCAGGAGGTCTTCCCAACTTAAAGATCTTTTTCAGTAAAACAAAAAATATTTTTTTTTAAAAAAAAAGTTCAGTACTAGGAAATTTTCTACTGCTCTGTAGCATGTTCCTTGTTGATGACTGAGAGAAAGTTTTGTTTTAGAGAATACTGTCTTTATATAATCCTCTACTATCACTTAATGTAAGGATGCTTTGGGTGATAGTGGACTGCTATTAACAGTAGTAATTCGACCAATTCATTACCTTTTGAGTACATACAAATTTTGTACTATAGGTACTTCCAAAAATCTAAAAAGTGGTTGTTGTGTATTATTATTTTTCCCTTTTATGCACTGATTACCTCTCCTTTAATGAAATGACAGCACTTTATAGACCCACTTTAGGTAATGTTAGCTAGATGGAGAAAAAAATCCTGCTCACGAAACACTTAATTCCTAGGAACCTCCAAGCTTGTGGCTGTTGGTTTTTCTTGAAGGAACTYCATGCTCAAGCTCCGTGCTGCTGTTTTTCCTAGTTTCCTGCTTAGGAATTGCCCTTGCCTGGTGTGTGCAGAGACTGCTGTGTGTTCCTGCRTGCTGGGCCTCAGCCAAGCTCCAGAGCTTGTTTGCTCTTCCACGGACACAAAAGCAGACCGGAAAATTGGCTCTGGGCACGGGAGCTGATTCCGGTCACGGACATCCTTGGTGCTGGGCTTTCTGTGGGGAAGACAGGCTCAGCTGCTGAATACCTTGGGTTTTATTTTATGCCCTCCTTCCGCGAAGCCTTGGGRGAAAGAAGCCTTTCTTTGGCCGTGCGTCTCCTGTGATGCTACGGAGGCTTTTTCACCACGTCCCTTGGGAACGGCTGTTTCAGCTGGTGCCTAGTCAGAAAAAGGAGGATAGAATTTAGGAGTATTTTAGCCATTCATTCACCCAAATTTCTGTGTAATATTTCCGGATCTCTTCACGGAGCACTGTCACTGCTGGGTTTCTGTCCTGTGTCTGTTATTTCTGGGCATTTTTTACCCTGTTTTCAATTTACCATTTTTATGGGTTATCCGTGAGTTTACTTGAATATCGACTTTGGGACCATCTTCTCTTTGATGGAAGAGACCTAATTCTTGTGTGTACTTCTCTCATTTATGGGATTTAAAATGAGCAATTTTGTCAATGTTAGAAAAAAAAAAAAACAAGTTGGCATGTGTTAATTTATTGCCCGTGTTAATAGATTTAAGTGGGCTTTGTCATAGTCTTTATTTCTGAACTGACCAAGTATGACCAAAGGAAAGCTTAAGAAAGTACTCAGCAGAGCATGTTAAAATTGAGCATTGTGAATTTTTAAGAGGTATCTTCTAATTTAAAACTATATTTAAAAGGAGCCCACCAGGTGGCAGATTTCTTTATAAATTTAAAGATTTTTTTGGGGCAATTTGTTTATTTCTGAACTCATGGCTGTGRCTTACATACATACTGACTGGCCTTTTGATATTAGATGAGAAATGGTATGTCCTTTGACCCAARTGTGCTGACCCAGAAAGTATAAAATAATAAACAATTATTTATATTTTGTAGTTAAAAAATGATTAGGGGTAGAAAGATTTTGATCAACTATTGGAAGAGAAAGAAAGTAGTCAGTTTTATAGTCAGGTAGAGATTATTCTGACCCTGGGTGATATGAAAACACACAGAGGATAAAATGTTCAGATCCCGTTCGCAGCCAGATTGTCCTATTTCGTGCTAAGGCACAAAGAGGCCTGCATGGGAATTTTGAAAAAGGAGGAAAAAAAGTAGTTGAAATTATAAACATGTTCAATTCTCCCAGTAACTTCAAGCAGCACAGATATGGGTGGAAGTGCAAATGCAGGTTTGGGTACTTAAAAGTAAGGTTTTGGTTAGGTGGTTTTAGAAAAGATTCAGATATTCAGGATATGATACTATGTCTGTTCTAAAATTACTTGGGAAAGACTGCTGCATCGTTGGAGGCTGTTGCAGTTTCCTCTGGTCATATCTCCAGATGTATTTGGTTGCTTTAACTCTAGCTTCATACTGTCATAGCAGCCCTAAGAGAGAGCCCCTTCCCTGCCCGATTCCATCATTTTATCTTCTCTGCTCTGCTGTCCTTTCTTTCCTGTAACCTTCTACCATCTTTGGGCCGTATTTTATCACAGCTTTCCTGAATTCCCTAGCGATGGCTTGATTATGCTCAACTTGATCACTAGGTCACCTTCCATCTAACTAATGTCCCTGAGGACCTTTGTGTCACGCCACTGATACTGTCAGGAAAAGTAGTTGTTGATTCTGTTTTGCATGCTAGCATGGATTAAAGCCAGCATCTCCAAATCACGGGCTGATTGAAGATGATGATGATAATCATAATGACAGTCCTCCTGTCGCTCTCTACCAAGTATTTTTCAGTATTCAAAATACATCTYGTATGTGCACGCACAGACAGAGGAGAATAACCAGCCACGTCCTCAAAGCAAAACTTGTCATATACCCCGTGGGCTAAACTGCAGAGCACCCAAAAGCTGCATCATCCGTGTGGTGAGACAGCAGCAACAGCGTTGTGGAAAAACGATGGGTAAATTGTAATTATCCTCAAGCTGTTGAAATTCTCGATGGTAGAATAGATGGATAAAGCGGTGCCTGAAGTCATAAGAATTAGTGGGTTTAGCAACTTAATCCCCCTTCCCAAAGGTTTTCTTGTATGTGCTATTACCAAAGGGAGGGGAAAAAAAAAAAAAAAAAAAAAGCTATTTAAGGAAATTTAATACAGTGGAAATTTCTTTGGGGAAAAAACGCAATAGATCAAGGAAAGGAATAATCATTGTGCTCTCAGCACTTGGAAGCATTAATAGCACCGTGTCTCCAGCTGCTGTTGAACACAGAAGTGATAAAATTGCTTACTAGAGCAAAATTATGTGGGTCGCTAATGAGCRAGGGAGGATATTCAAAACCAGATAAAATGCTGGATGCAACTTAAAATATGAAGAAAAAAAAATAAAAGAGGCTTTTATGATGCTTCCACGCAGCTGGAGTTTTCCCGTGTTCTCAGCTGCCTGCACCCCCTGGATGATGCAGGGAACTATTGCAATGATTGTGGAAACCTATTGGCGATGAGCGGGTGGACCAGTTTCCACGGTAAAGTTCATAAAGGAAGAGCTTGTTCCTTGCCATACGGTGTAAGTAGRTGAATCTGGATTGAAGAAATAGAACAAAGATGGTGTGAAATAAAATGTGAAAAGGGCAAGTACATTTCAAGATATGCAACATGCATGTGATACTGTGTCAGAAAAATGAAATTTGGCAGAGGTTAGGAGTGAAATGAGCTTGTTTTTTTGTTTCAAGTTTCAATTAACAGCGGTATTTCAGTTGTGGAAAAGATATAGAGACCGTCTAGGAGTCCCGTTTTGGAGGCTTATCTGCTGAACCCCCATACCCGGGTTAAGGCTGGGGTCTCTATTGGGCTCTAGGCCAGAGCTGCAAGGTGAGGAGATGGCCCTGGCACACCCAGGCTCCGGTGCAGAGAGGGGCGGGCTGGGGTAGTCGCTGCCTCCTTACATCTGTATCTGCAGCCAGCATCTCCTGTACGGAATTACAGAGAAGGGGGAAAAAGAGAGAAAATAAAGGGGGGGAGAAAAAATAAAAAAGAAGGGGAAATAAAAAAGGAGGAAGATATAAAATAAAACAAGGAGAAAATATCAAAAAGGAGTAAAAAGGGGAGAAAAAGTAAGGAAAAATAAAAAAGGGCAAAATAAAAAAAAATAGAAAGTGTGGGGAAAAAAGGCGACGGGAAGGGAAGGGAAAGGCCGGGGGCTTAGGAGCGGGAGCGCCGGGCGGGACCGCGGGGCCAGGGAGGGGCGGGACCGCGGGGCGGGGCCGGGGCAGGGCCAGGGAGGGGCGGGCCCGCGGGGGCGGGGCCAGGGAGGGGCGGGGCCGCGGGGCGGGGCCGCGCGGCAGGTTTGGGATGCGCGGCGGGAGGAGGAGCTGGAGCGGCAGGAAGGGAGTTTCCCGCGCGGCTCCCGGCCTGTGACTCAGGCAGGAAACTCCCGGGCAGGCGCGGCCCAGGCAGCGCAGCCGCCCGTCGGGCCGGGCCGAGCCGGGCCGAACCGAACCGAACCGAACCGAGCCGGGCTGAACCGGGCCGAACCCCCTCCTCGGCGCAACCGGGAGGCGCCGCACAGCGGGTGAGCGGCGGGCCGGGCCGGGCCGGTGCGAGCGGGGCCTCCCGGTCCTCCCGGCGGCGGGCGCGGCGCTGCGCGGTTGGGCCCGCGGGGCGCAGCGCAGCGGCGGGGCGCCCCTTGTTGTGTTGTTCGGTTACAGTAAAGCCAGCCCGTCCTCCCCGTGGGAGCGGCGGCCGAGCTGCTGGCGCCTTCCTTGGAGGCGGCGGGAACGTGTCCCTTGCGCTGGGGGCCGCAGCGGGGCGGCTCGTGCCGCTGGCTGCCGCGTGCCATGCGGACATCAACAGAGATAGCTGCCTGTATATATATATATATTATTATTATTATTGCATATGTATATTATATATATACTTATTATATATTATGTGTATATATATAYGTGAGTGCTGTGTGCCCTATGCGCATATTATGTGCGCTGTGTGTGTGTGCGGTGTATATGTGCACGTAAACGTGCACATGTATAGATCCACCCTGCGCTGCAGGATAGCGACAGAGGACCTGCCGGTGGCCGCTTCGGGGACAGGCGGAAAGGCTTGTAAACCCGTACAGGGAGCGTCCCGGAAGAGCATTTGGAATCACAGAATCACGGAATSGCTGAGGCTGGAAGGGACCTCTGGAGATCACCCAGTCCAACCCCCTGCTCCAGCAGGGACACCCGGAGCACGGGACACAGGGCGGCATCCAGGCGGGTTGGGAAAGTCTCCAGAGAAGGAGMCTCCACAGCCTCCCTGGCCTCCGTCGGAGGCCCGCGCGCTGTGCGGGGTTGTTGCTCGGCCTCTCGTGCAGCGCCCGCATCTTCCTTTGCGCTGCTGGAGTTGGGTGCAGATGGCAAGGACAGATCCACATGCCAACGTGTCCCGCTGCTCCGTGGCAGCCAGGCATCTGTGTGCAACCAGAGCAGGACTCTTGAGGAAGGCGGATGCTCCCTAATTAGAATAATTAGGCTGAAGYGAGAGCAACAGCACAAGCGCCTAATTCCGCGGCAGGCGCCCTGGAATCCCTCTCTCTTGTGCGTGTGTCCGTGATGAGCAACCAGGGCGGCGCCGAGGCGGCTTCCGAGCGGTTCTGTAGCTCCTCGGGAAGTCTGCGAGTAGCTTTTACCTCTCCGGCCTTCGCTGCCTTCCCTTTAATCCCTGCGCCCTTTGATGGCAGCTTTGCGTGCTGTTCAGACATGTAAATTGCTGTCGGTGTCTCCGGGAGAGATGTTGGGAAGAAGCCATTCCCGGGGCTCGGAGCGGAGCTGCCTGCGGTGGTTGCTCACACACAAGTATTGGAGAGTGTCTGAGAATTTCCCCTCAATTACCAGGTCTGACAAGGCTTTGCCATAATCTGGTAGAGTTTAGTTCTCTGATGAGCATCTCTAGCCCTCGCTGCATTTCATTTCCTTGCTTGCCAGAGCTGTATGACAGTAACCTTAYCGACAGCTTATGCGCATGGAGTTACTGGTTGGTGTGTTTTCCATGTGGGAACTTSTAGCAACACTGTGACACAAAAATTTCATGATCTTTGGTTTGTGGCTATATTAGTTTCAGATTTACAAACCGCTTTGTGTTGAGGCAGAGTGGCTCTGAGCAGTATGGTTGTGCTTTCATTGCCAGCCCTCGTGACGATGTCCGGACTGCTTATGGATTGATCTGACTCCTGCGTTGGCCCTTTTAATAACTGTCTTTGTTTTAATGCAGAGTTCCTCTGATCTTTGGAATAAAAGGCTCTCCAAGCCTTCTCGGCAAACTTGCCTGGGAGGTCTGGCTGGTACAGGCAGCCCCTGCTTCCCTGGCTGTATTTGCAAATGAMTTTTGGAAAATCTGGGGCACAGTCGGAAAGACTTAATTGCAGTGTTAAAGCTCACTCATCTTGTCTGCTGACAAGTTTCCAGCAATATTTCTCTMTAAAAGCAACTTGGATTTTTTCCTGTAAGGACAGGGATGCAGTTGATACAATATCTCYGTAGTACTTTGTGATTTTCTTATTGTTAGACCTACGTTATTATTGTGGCTACTATTACTTGGAAGGAAGCAGCAGCCCAGAATCTTAAGGAAAACGGGCAGAATTCCCATGCTGAGGACGAGTTAAGACCTTGTGTGTTTTGTTTGCTGACCTTGGGCTCGGCAGCTGCTGCTGAGGGTCACGATCACGAGAGGGAAGCAGGGAGAGCCGTGCGCTCGGCACGGGTGGCAGAGCCTCTGGGGCACTGTCTGCCCCGTGGGACTGCACGGAGATTTGTACTGAAAGAAAATGAATGTTCCGCAAGCAATCCAAGCTTTCCATTTCTCAGCCCTTGACTCTTTGGCTTTGCAGAAGTTGGTAGATTCGTGCATGTGTAATATCAAAAGCATCTGTAACAAAACTCTTGTTTTTTCTTGGCTTTCTTGAGGTGGAAACTCGCCTCTGGGCTTGGGTCTGCATGCTCTCTTGACATTGTCTTTAAAATATAATAGAAGAATGGACAGATTGCAGCTGTATGTTTATGTTAAGGATTGTGTGATTTACTCAGGTTAATGTTTTGTTCCTTTATTCATTCTGAGAGAAGGGGGGTTGGAAGGTGACTTCAACTCACTCAGACATGATTTGTGATCTTCTAAGAACTCTGTTTTCAGAAATGAGATGTTTCTGTGTTTTTTTTTTTTCTTTTTGTTTCATTTCTTAAAACTTTTAAAGAAATTCGCAGTAAGCCTTACTTGAAGGATGGGAACTTTCAAGCAACTGGATTGGGGTTACGGAGTTATGTGAGACCGAAACCCTTCACAAAGTTCCCTTTTTTCTCCGATTTGGTTTTGTTCGTTCTTTGCCCCAAAGCTGCTAGGGTCGCTTGCAGTGCTACACGAGAGAAAAGCGGTTTTAGGATAATACCCAGATGTACATTTGTTGGAATGCAGGCAGTTTGATTTTGCAGTCATCGTTACGTGCTTTGAGGGTAGATTCTTAATGCGGTTTCCTTCCTCTACCACCAGGTAAAGCAAACTTTGATGTCAGATAAGCCTGTTACACCGCAGTGAACCAGAAGTCAGATGGATTTGACTTCTCCTGGCACTGTGATAGTGCGAGTTTCCAGATTTTTATTGTTTATTTATATATATTTATTTTTAAATAGCTGTGGTCATGGCAAGTTCCAGATGAGGGGGTGATTATTCCTGGAGCAAGCTGTGGGGGGCTGGTTTTCCTAGAAGGGGTGCTGGAGGAGCTTGACCTGAGCTAAGTGCAAATGTCAAGTGAAATGGTTCAGATGAATAATATATAAATGCACGAGCTCAGGAGTGTGAGTCACTGAAACAGATGCCCTCAGTTTTACGTTGGCTTAGGAGCAAGTAGGAGAGAAAACAAATTTCAAAACTTCTGGTATTTGTGACACGTTCTAAGCGACCTCTGACAATCTGCATTAGCTCATTCTCTCAGTGGGTTTGTTAGTGTTTTGCTGCGTTGCTATTGGAATACATAAGAAATACTCTAAAGCCGTGTACATCACTCTGGTGCACGGACGTGGCTCTGACCCAGTAGTGCAGGTGTGCGTGTGGTGGGGAGGTGAGAGTGTGCCTTGGTCTGCCTGCTTTGAGGGAATTTGTGGGAAGCCACTGGCTCCGTGTATCGAGTGGTAAAAGGAACATGTGAGGCCCTGATGCAGCTTGCTTGGGGAAGGCAGAAGGTGCACACTGGCCGATAATCTTTCTGTCTGTTGGCACCAAGAGATGTTATAACTCAGCTTTTGGGTAGTTGATTCTTATCTTTCTTAAGTACGCCCACAGGAAAACCCAAAGCTCTTTTTTTTTTTTTCCAGGTCTTAAAGGATTTTCTCTTTCTCTTTGAGCTGTTCGCTTGTGTTATAAATACGTGCGTGTTTGTAAGTGTTTATATTGCAGAAAAGATCTTGTCTTCAGACAGCTCGATGTTTTTGGGAGGAAACGTGACAGTTTCAGGCTTCTGCTAGCTGGAAAAACAAAGCAGGGTGGTGGTAAAAGTGGACACGGCACAAAGAGTTGTTGTTGTTGTTACGGTACAAAGGCTTGTCCTATTTGTCATCTCGGTAGAAAAACCCCTCAGTGGCGCAAGTTCACCCATGTCCTGGMCTCAGCGTCAGCTGAATAACAAGTGGTTTTAGGGCTGTGCAGCCTCCCTGGGAAAGGTCCGTGGCAGGGAGGTGATTTTGACTTTTTTTGTGCCATGGAGGTGAGTGCAGAGGGGGCCAGAGGGTCCAGCTGTCCCAGCCCCCTGGCCGGAGGTGACTGTCCCCTTTCCCTCTCTCGGGGAGCCCCCTTGGAGCAGGAATCTCTTGGGAGCGTGACGCCCTTTGGAGGGAAATAAACCAATCAGTCAAACTGCTGYTATGTCTGCGCTTAAAAGGAACTTTTGATTTACAGACCAACTTAGTACCAAAAAGATATATATATAATATTTAGTCAAATATTTTGACTTTTAGTATTGCTGGTTTGGAGCAAAAATGGCTTTTGCCCTTCCCCAAAAGGCAACCTAAGATGTTGGACAGCGGGTAGCTTTTGCTTGCAATGTGACGGTGTTTCTGCAAACGGTTAGCAATGTCGCACCTCTGCAGAGCTCTTCTGAATGAATAGAATATTAAGGAAAAAACAATAGTGGTATAATTGGTGCTGTAAACCTGAAATTGCCTTATGCCTTTGCTTTATGCCAAAGAGTGTAGCTCTAAGGCTGGATTCACTGGCATGAATTAACTTGAGAAGGGGAGTGTGCTGGGTATTGTGTTCTGAGTGTCAAGTTCAGGTAAACTGGCATGAAACGTTGCCCGGGCTGCGCAGATGTGGATACTTGTCAGGTGGTGTCAGAAGAAAAGATACTGATGAATTTTCAGTGAAGTTGCATATTTCCATTTAATGTCCAAAAATGAAAGGATAAGGCATTGCAGCTCGTGAGCTCATTTGGAGGAAAAAGAAAGCTGAATGTGCTGCTAAAAGCAGTTTATTTCGTTTTTCTCCTCCCTGGACTTCTCAGCTGAGCCGGTGGGCAGCACCTGGAGCGMTTGCTGGGAAGGGCCCGTGCCA